TTAAAGACTGAAGCCAGACTTTCATTTAAAAAAAAAAAAGTTACATGAAAATGTCCATCAGAAACATCTGTCACATTTGAGAAGTTTAAAATTCACAAGCCATGTCCACACAACCATCAAAATGAATGTGTCTGGGCTTTCTACAATCCTCATAACAGTTACAAAAAGGCTGTGCGGGCTGTGGGAATTTCAGTGTGAGAGCTGTCACTGAGGGCTAAGGAGGACAAAGGAACTTTATTAAGTATAGGGAGATGGAAAAAAAGAAAATCTGGGTTCTACTCAGACTGATCTTATTATAGCTTTATAATCTTGGGCAAATCATTAAAACTAATTGAGCCTCAGTTTTCTTTTCCAAAAAAACTGAGAGAAAGGCCCTGCATACTACAGATAGGGTCACAAATAGGGTGATGGATGAAAATGCATTTGACAAGTATAAATCCAATCAATGAAAAGAAGCTAGCACAGTTTAAAATAATTCACTTGAACAAACACATCCCGTGATGCCTCTTCTGAGCCGGCTCTGTGCAGACAGATGCTGAGGATAAAGAGGTGAAAATAACACTGTTAAACTGAAGTGCATTGTTTAATTTAAATTTTAAATAAAATTTAGAGCTCAGTTATCTACTCAGACTAGCCACATTTCAAGTGCTCCCATAGCTACATTTGGCTAGTGGCTACCATATCGGACAGCGTATGTATAGAGCATTTCCATCACTGCAGTAAGTTTTATTAGACAGGGTTCATATACAAACACCAACTAGGCAGAGGAGATGGAATGCTTTGAAAATCAGCTTGCTGACAGGACCAGGTTTGGTTTTCCTATGTGTAAGTTATTCCTCAGGAAGCAGTGCAGAAGCGAGTTAAACCCCTTCACTCCTGCTAGAATCCTCAGAGATATCCCTTTTGTTGTGTGAAATAGCACAATATGGGGAGTGGGGTAGAAATGCCCCCCAACTGGGCTCCTGGGAATTGGTTTCCCCATGCTACCATTCAGAGTGTCCCTGGGATGTCTGCCTTCCCCAGGGACCTCCTGTGGTCTCTTTCTCCACCTCAGTCAAGGGGCCTTTCTTCAAACAAAATACATCCTGTAGGATTCGCCCACATTTATTTAAATGACACCTTCCATGTTTCTGGCCACTAAGTTAAATGCAGTATGTATTGAGAGAAATATTCAAGTTATATCACATTTTTACATGCACAAACTCATTTAGTTCTCAAAGCAACATTATAAAATGGGTATTAATATCATCCTCTTGTACAGAAGATGAAATTGAGGCTCAGAGAGTTTAAATGACTTACACAAAGTCACAGTCATAAAGTAGCAGACTCAGGGAAGACTGAAATGGTGCGAAGAAATTCACCTATGTTATCTCATATAATTTTGACATCAAAAATACCATGCCTTTGAACTTTATAAACTAATCGGGAAGAAAAAGATTAACATACATAAATCCAGTTTGCAATTAGTTTCCAAAGAGTGTGATAGAAGCAATGACAAAGGCATCCTCAGAAAAGTGTAGGAGTACCAAACAGGGATGCCCTTGATGGGCATCTGGGAAGGCTTTCTGGAGGAAATTACCCTGAGCTAAATATTAAAGGAAAGGGTAAGGGGAGTCAGCCAGATTAAGAGTAGGGTGGTAAAAAGAGAGGGGAAAATACTTTCTAATCTAAGTTGTCATTTGTATTTCTACTTTGTTTATGTTGGTTTGGCCTGTTATCAGGCTTTTCTAACTTGGCTTCTAAGTTTTGTTTAAAAAAAAAAAAATTTTAAAAAAAGCTGCCCAATGCCAAGGTTGTAAAAGAATCGAATATTTCTTCTTAATCTCTTAGAGTTTCATATTATACATTTACATTGTTGATCCACATAGAATTTATATTAGTGTAAAGTGGGAGATATGGATCCAACTTTATTTTTTCCATATGGTTAGCCTATTGCTCAAACAAAACTTACTGAATAAACAACACATTTTCTCCCCAGTGATTTGAGGTGTCACTTTTATAATATACTTAATTCTGGTATTTGTTTGTGTTTATTTCTGGGCTTTGTTGGGGCCCAGAAACCAATACTCCAAAATATGAAGCTTTGTACAGGCTGAACTGAAAAACAAAAAAAAAGCCTCAAGGTCTTTCTGACCTTCCCCTACCCCTCAAGTTCTCCCTCAAAGCATATAGGATAAAGTTGTTCTCCGAAGTTCCCTTATATGCCTGAAATCCAGACCTACCAAAATTCCCTGAATTTTTATTAACTGGACCCATATGGCAGGAAGGAAAACTAAAATCTGTCATAAAACCTGAACAGACTTTTGTCACAAACCATTGTCCTCTCTGCAAGCCCAACAGACCTCACCCCAGACCACTCTATGTTCTTCAAGCCCATTGAAGTCCCCTAAAAATAATTTACCAACCCCTAAAATCATCCACA